CCCCCTCCTCCTGTGCCCTATCCGCATATTTCAAACCTTAACACTAACACATTTCCTCCCCTCTCTCAGCTCATCTTCTCCCACCCCCTCGGAACCTTCACCCGCACCACCCCAATCCAATGGACGCCCGCTCAAGTCTCCCGCATCACGCACTTCTTCTTCACGCCACGCGTCCAGCAGCACTTGTTTGAGTTCCAAAGAGAGCAGCAGCAATCAAACAACGGCTCCTCGCCCTTTACCCACTTCTCTATTCCCGACAGCCTCTTTTCGGAGCTGGGATTCGCGACCCTTTCTTCGCAAACCACCAATTTCAGCGGCGAGAATGTGGCCGAGATGGTGAAGGACAAGATCCGGGATGCGATGAGCGCTTTGTTGGAGCGCTTAAGAGAGAATGAAAATCCGGGTGCGGATGTTGATATGAAATCAGAGCCAAGTGCATCGAGAGTTCCAAAACATGCGAATGTCAATACAGGCATGGCAGAACCTGCTCAACGCACCAGCAGCAGCAGCAAAGGCGAAGGCAATAGCAGCGGCGGCAGCGGACTGCTCGAGCAGCTTCGTCGCAGTATCAAGAGCACTGCTAGCCCCGATCCTAGTCTCGATCCCAATGCCGGCCACGGTCATGGTCCCAGTCCCTCCTCGTCAAAGTTGAGATTCATGCATTCCGTCAGCGAGCCCGTCGGTCCGGCTGGATATTTCTCACCCCTTTCAAAGCTGAACTTCATGCCTCCTAGCTTTGCAACGGATAAGAAGACCAGCGTCGACGACATCGATCAGCTTATAAGCTCGTCGAAACCTGCCACACAGCCACGCATCAAGAAGGAGGAGGATCAGCAAGGTGGCCGCAGCAGCATGACTAGTGTCGATGAGCCGGGCCGTAGCGGTAACAAGGAGAGCAGCATGGACTTCGAGATGATGTATCCCGGCTATCCACTTTCGAGCACGTCGCACGTTTGGAAGAAGGAGGAGAGCAAGGGAGCCGATGACTTTCCTTATCATCTCTTCCCTGGCTATGGTGGTAGTGAAGTTGGACCTGGACCTGGAGCTGAAGCTGGTCGTGCCGAGACTGTCACTTCTACGCAGCTTATTCCAGAGATCAAAGGCAAAGGCAAGATGAAGGAGAGAGGTGAAGAAAAGGAGGAAGAGGAGGACGGTGGGGATGGAAATTGGGATGGGGATGAAGACGAGGTGGACACTCCACCACCACCAGCAGCAGCTTCAGCTTCAGCTTCGAAACAGTCGAAAGAGACGGCGAGAAAGGCCAAGGCTGTCCAGGCCGGCATCGAGGCGTACCGGCGTCAATCCAACCTCCGATCATCGGAAGCCGCCGACACTAGTGCGAAGACTAGGTCTGGCACCCCTTTCCGATCGACAGCTACGCCAAAGGTATCCCACGCAGCTCATACCAAGGTGTTGCATACATCGACGGGAGACGCCGAAGCTGTTGCTGCTGCACAACATAAGATGCAGGACGGCAATGAGGTTGTTGATCCGATGGCGATGTATGCTCGATTTCTCGCTCGAGAGAAGGAGCTTGACAAGCAGGTCAATGCACTGTCTCTTCTGTTAGGGGAAGTAGAGCTGACGGAGTCAAAAAAGGTTCAGGAGTAGGAGGGAATGAGATTGACTAGGAGGAAGGGCTTGGGGGCGGTGGTGGTGTAGGATCGGGCAAAAGGAAAGGGGGTAAAGGGACTGAACTAGATTGATAGAAAAAATTGGATACCTCATTCTCTTTCTGTTACCAACTTGGGCCAGCCAGACAGCCAGCCAGCAGCAGCTGAAGGTCGTGTCCATTCCTGATCCGTTTCTTAGATTTCCATGCCCATCCCTCTTCTGCATCCACGCTGCCGACCCCCATGCCCATCTCAAATCCCCCATCCTATACCACCTCTCCTATATCTTTTATACTTCGTCCTTCATGCCTGTGCCAATCCTCTATGCCCGTTCCAATTCATATACCTTTCGCTGGCGACTCGGGGTACGATAAAACGAAAGCGCTCGGGTTAAGGCTTTGGCTGCTTCCGAGTCATATCAACATGTCGACTATGTCAACGACAACAAGTTCACCACTTTTCCAATTTCTTATACCCATCCTCTATGCCAATGCTCCATACCCATCTTCCGTTCTCATTACTACGAGCATGGCCATTTCTTTGCTCTTCCGCTTGCGACTCAGATTGTAGTAGGATCGGGATAAGCACCGCCCGTATCGGTGTCCGAAAGCTTCGGAAAAGGACTGACATCCTGCGCTGCTCTTCTTGCCGAGCTGTTGTAAAGGCCTCGGGTAAGCAAAAGAGAAGAAAAAAACAGCATCCTCATCTTCATCCCTATCCTCATTCTCCATTCCAATTTTTATGCTCTTCCGCTTGCGACCAAGAATGTAATAGGATCGGGATAGGCGCCGTGTCGGTGTTCAAAAGCTTCGGAATAGGACCGATGGTATCTTGCGCTGCTATTCTTGCCGAGCTCTTGTAAAGACCACGGGTAAGCAAAAGAGAAAAACAAGCAGCATGACCCAAGAATATTCGCGCTCTTCTTCAAGTGCCTCTTCTGCCCGCCCTCGTAGTCCACAAACGTAACCCCAAGTCGTGTCTCGTAACCTTCGGCCCACTCGAGATTATCCATCAGGCTCCAGGCCAGATAGCCTCTCATATCGACACCCCCTTCGACCGCTTTAGCCATCGCATGAACGAATCCCTGGAAGACTCCACGCGAGACTTGTTGTTCGGGATCTTCTCGAGCGGCAGTTTGTTCTCGCACTTAGAAGCATGTGCTATTTTCGGTGCTTAAAATCCAGACGAAGTTGTGGAACACTTAAGAGTTAAGATGGATCCAGACTGACTGCGTTTCAGGGCCGATAGTTTCCTTGATCTTAGACTCGAAAGGCGCTTCGAGATTACCGAAGTGGTCGTCGACTTTGGAAAAAGAGATTTGTAGTTGATGTAATTGGCGGTATGATATCTTCTTTTCGATCCTCATCTACATCTCCATGTCCATCTCCATCTTTATTTTTAGCTCCATGTTCAGCTCTAGTCCAGCTCCGTATTCAGCTCCACGATCAGCTCCACGTCCAGCTCCACGTCCAGGTCCAGGTCCAGCTCCAGGTCCAGCTCCAGCTCCAGTCCAGCTCTATATCCAACTACACGTCCAGCTCCACGTCCAGCTCTACGTCCAACTCCACGTCAGCTCCAGGTCCAGGTCTAGGTCCAGCTCCAGCTCCAGTCCAGCTCTGTATCCAGCTCCACGTCCAGCTCCACGTCCGACTCCAGCTCTATTTCCGGGTAGAATTGCTAGCTTATCTTCCACCTCTTACCTACCTCGTTCCTTTTTTTTCTTCCACTACTCCTTGTTCCTCTCATCCTCGTTTCTCTCTACCCAGTCTCCTACTTGAATGTTGACCTCGTTCCTCTCATCCTCGTTTCTCTCTACCCAGTCTCCCACTTGAATGTTGACCTCGTACGTATCGATGGAATAGGACAGCGCCTTGTTGGTGTTCAGCTTGATCACAGCGTCTGCGAAGTTATCCTTTCAATCAATCCAGCAAACTTCAGCAAGTTCTCTGTCTCTGCGTTCCTATGATTGCCGCAAGGCAATGATATCGACCGCTCGGCGCCTCTCCTTGACGGTTCCGGGCTTGACCAAGCATTTGTAGAAGGAGTACGAGTTGGTACAAATAGTCACGGGGACTTCAAGGAGATGGATACTCTCAGTGACTGTTTTGAATGTTCTTGTAACGTAAATAGAATGTCGATTTCGAAACAATTCCGTAGATCTCAGATGGCAGTGCCGATCGTGTGACTCGCTTACACTTGATGAAGCTGGCGGCAATAAGGTTTCTCTTGATCTGGAAGCTCTCTTCGAACTTCTTCTCGTTCGCTAGAAGTATCTCACTGCCAATTTAAAAGCTGCAATCCTTGTTGTCTGGAAAAGAACCACCAACGAATACGAACAGCTTAGCGATGTAGCGGCCAACGTCCATGTGAAGTAGAACGGTGGTTTAGATTAACCTCCTAATAAGCTCTGGCATCTCTCTTACAAGCCTTCACTTTGAGCCAATCGATATTCATTTGTGAATAAGTCAGCTAAGTGAAAGATGTGCGGAAGAGTTTACATAACCTTATTTTAGATGTGCTATGTTGTCTGGATCCGACTGACTTGAATCTCATGCCTCTTCGTTAATCTTTATGTCCAGCTCTTCGACGATTCCCCGGTCGGGGTCAGGTTTGAGTTAATGGTTCTATTGTCGGATGTGACGCCTCTGGTTTCTGCAGCCACGGTGCTGAAGGTTGGAGGTGTAGCTGAAGGATCGAGAGACTCCATTTCCATCTCTATCTCCATCCCATTTCCATTTCTATCCCATCCCCATCCTCAATCTCAATCCCATCCCTATCCTCAATCTCAATCCCATCCCCATCCTCGATCTCAATCCCATCCCCATCCTCGATCTCAATCCCATCCCCATCCCCATCCCCATCCCTATCTCCATCTCATCCCCATCCCCAT